GTAGTGTAGGAGGGGGCAGGTTACTCATTTAACGCCTTTACAATCGAGAGCCCCGTCCTCCAAAGTGCATCAAAACTGGCTGGAGCAGCTGCAGGAGTTGCTCTCCCATGACATCTCCCTGCTGTGGGCAGGGAGTGGTCAGTTCCCTCGGCACTGTGGCCCTCCTGGCCCTCAACACAGGCTGCTGTACAGCTGCAAAGTCCTTTTCCTCCACAGTGGAATGAGCCTGCAAAGCAAAGGAGAGGAAGCTTTGAGCAAGGCAGTGTGGTGCAGGGAGTAGAACAGCTCCCTGGGATGTGTGGGGTTGACTGGGCACAGCTGATCAGTCAGACAGACTGTGACATCTCTGTAGGACAGCGATATGGTTTACCATGGGCCATAGCTGTAAGTAATAATATTGCTGCAATTATTTTGCTGTCTCACTCCAGGAGACCCCAGGAAAACCCCAAGAGCAACCCTTCCCAATGTCTCAATTTGTCCTGCTGTGAAGAGGTGCTGATAATCTGCCTCTCTCCCTGCCTGCCTTCCAGCTCAGGGGTTACCATAACTGTTTATACCCTTCATCCAGTTGGGTTTTGCCAAGTTCAGCTGGACTTGCCAGAACACGATCCAGCCTAGGCTTGATGGGTTCCTGCATCCCCAGGCATCATCCGTGTCCTGCAAGCAGGACTGGGGAGGTGAGGCTGAGCAAGGGTTTGTTTGAGTGACTAGTGCCAGCCAAGGGTTTATGCTGCCCCTCCAGAAAAGCAAGCCAGAGCACTTTTTGGACTCTCTATGATTCCCTGGAGCTCTGAGGTTGGAGTCCAAGTCTCTGCCAGTGAGATGGAACCAGCCCCAGAGGCACTGTAGCCTCAGGATCACAGGATCCAGGGCTCAACTGAGCAGTTTGCACCAAATAAAGGTGAAATCCTGCAGAGAGAGGGGACTGATTGGTTTGTGGTGTAACCTTCTTTGGGAACCAGCTGGAGTCAGGTTCTCCCATCTCCCCTTGAATAATGTGATTCAGCAAATGGGGCTGCATGCATTACCCCAGGCAGCCTGGCTTCCCTGTTCAAGCAAGGAAGGGAGGCTGGGGGAGCTGGGGAAAGAACTGACCTGGGCCAAAGGCGCTTTTCTTTCAGAGTCAGCGTGCCTGGTGCTGGGTAGCCTGTTCACACCCTGAGCCTGGGTCAGTGGCATGCAAAGCACTCGCCCGCCTCCCAGTGCGCCGAGTAAAGAAGCAACAGCTGCAGGGGCCCTTTCGCTGCCTCAGGAGATGTGACAGCACCCAGGAGCCAGGCTGGGATCTAAATTTAAACTCATGCTTTGTGTGTTTGTATATGCAAGTGCAAGCTCCAGCTTCCACTCCCCTGTCACCTTCCCCAGTGTGTGGAGGAGGCAGGCTCCACAAGAGGGGAGATCCAGAGGAGCTCCAGCTGGCTGGGACCTGGGGAAGGGGGCACAGCCGTGGGCCAGGAGGGAGAGAAAGACCATGGAGCCTGCTTCTCCCCAGGATGATGTGAAGAAGAGGCAGCAGAAGGAGAAGTCCAAGAAGCCAGTGCCACCAGCAGCTCCCCGGCCAGCCAGGGCTCTGTTCTGCTTAACTCTGCAAAACCCCCTGCGGAAGGCATGCATCAGCATTGTGGAGTGGAAGTATCCTTCTGGCTGCACAGGCTTGGGAGCACTCGAGTGTGTGACTGTGAGCGGGGTTAATGGGGAGGCTTGCTGGGGAGCAGGACCCTGTGGGCTGCAGGCAGGAAAGCTGTCATCCCACTTCAAGCCTGTGTTGGCTCTCCTCGGGTCTGTAAAAGGCAACAAGTCGCTCCGGCAGCCCCGGTAGGATGCATCGGCAAACTGGGGGCTTGAATAGGCTTGTGGGGAAGCTGGGGCTGAGAAGCAGGTCAGGCTGTGAGGACCCTCGAAAGGGTGGTATGGGGGACAGGCAAGGACAGTCTGCGTGGCATGGGACTTGCGGGAGTGAACAGATTTTGTGCTGGCAGGAGCTGTGCTAGGGAGAAACAGCAGACAGCCCTTCAGGAGGGGAGGTTTGGCATGTGAGGAGAGGCCACAATGCCCTTCCCAGGGTGGGGATGGGGCCAGGCTGAGGGAGCAGGAGCTGAGGATGGAGCTGGGGACAGCAGGCTGCCTCAGGGGAGAAGTTTGTGGGTGGGCAAGCTGCTTGGAATGGCTCTTTGTGTGTGTCACTGCTTGCCTGATCCCACAGCTGCTCCCTGCGCCAGTGGTGGGGGCTGGCCAGCATCCCCTGAATCCTTATCGATTCTGTTGTCCTCTCAGCTCTCCATTCCCATCTCTCCCCAGCACTACTGTTAGAAGTAAAGGCTTTTGTGACCAATACTGTTCAGAGGGACAGCATTTCTCTGTGCCTCTGGCTTAACTGAGGGATGGGTTTTGGGTGGTTGCTCTTTGATTGGCCATCTTTTTACTGGGACGTTATAGCTCAGAAATACCAAAATATCATGTTTCTGCCACTCATCCAGGAACTATTTTAGGCCATTAGATATTGCCTCGTTCACCTGTATTTTATGGATGGGAGACGAAACATTTCACTTTGGCTTCAGCAAAACATTTGGACTCAAGCAAAAATGATGGAATTTGGGGATGTTTGCAGCAAATTCAGTTCTTCCACCCCAACTTTTCTCATTTCAATTGCTGAACCTATCTGTGTGTTCCTTGCCTTGGCAGAATCATTCCAGCCCTGGCCAGGCTTTGCTTTTCTTTGAGGTGGCTTGGTCACCTTAGGTTGGCTGTGTTGCTGTACATGTAGTGCCGCAGGGACACCGAAACCATGCCCGGACTGTCAGAGATGCCATCTTGTTCAAAGCCCAGGGTGCCCATTTGTAGGCACTCAGGGCATGCTCACACCTCTGATGGTGCTGTGCTGGCCATGAATTTTGAGCTCTTCTTCCTTCACTGCAAAAGGGCTCTCTGTCCTTCAAGGAGAGTGAGCAGAGCTAAAATTGGGGAATTCTCCCTTTCTGCTTCTCTGGCAGGAGGACTGGGTTTTTCTACAAGCACATGGAAGGGAAGTGTGTCTGTGTCTTAAGTAGGCACTAAGTATGGAAGAAACTTGGGCATGCACCCTAGTAGCAGGGGAAGAGCTGGAAATAGGACTTAGATCTTCCACCATGCTCAAACGCATTCCTCTTCCTGGGCCAACACATGCCAGAGAGAGTGCGTAGCACAGTGGGGGTCTTTCCCATGTCGGTGCCCTGGAAGGGGAGTGTGCAGGGGAGAAGTGGTTGTCCCACCAGGAAGGTTGCAGGTGATTCTGACCTGTCCAGGGCATTGGGTTTCTCCAGTGCCTCTCTTGCTCCTGGCTGAATTTATACCCGATGGCACCTGGCTTCCCTGATTCAAGGATCAGGGTTTGCAAGACATGACAGGGTCGTTGAAGTTCCTGCGGGTTGTTATGGTCTGCAGGGCCTGGCAAGCTGCCAAGGGGAGATGAGCTGTGACCATTTTCTGTGGAGATACCTGGGTTCATTATTGCAGTACATGTTCCTGTTCTTTGGGCCCACGTCTGCTGCATGGCCAAAACTGAGCCTCAGGAGTGGGAGAGGGTCTTTACCAGGCAGTTGGAGGGTGGTGAGTGTCACTGCACTAAGCCTAGAGTGGGTGAGAGTCAGACTGGCTTGAGGCAGAGGTGGTTTTATGCTGAAATTTGCTGCCATCTCAAAAACCAGGTTTTTTAGCACAAGGAAATCTGGGTATCGTGTGCTTGACAGCTAGTCCAGCAAATGGATGGTTGTTGGGACATGTCTAGCTTTCTGGTGTCAGCCTGGTATTTCAGGTCATTTTGTAGCCAGGAGGACTTCAAGGCAGATGGGTTAGGAGTCTGGAGACCTTGGAGGACCACAGAGCTGCAAGACAGATGTTGGGACCCTGGGATGCTGTGTGACAGGAGGCTGCTGCGAGATTGCAGGACAAGGAGATGAGGAGGATGTTGAGGCTCTGGCTCAGTGGCAAGAGGCAGAGACACCATGCCCAGTGACACTACCTGCCTCTTTTTTGCTTCAATCTGTCCCACTGTGTTTCTAGCTAGTAATGGTGTCAGACTCACAGACTCGCAAGCAGCGTGTTGAGTCCAGCTCCCGTTGCAAGATAGGTCACCCTTCAAGAAGGGCGGCTTGTCACCCTGTTGGAGCAGGGAGAGAAGCCTCTAACCCTCAGGCTCTGCCCCTTTACCTGGAAGACAGAGGGGAACAGCTTTTCCAGCTGACTTTAGGTTTTAAAATGTCATCAAGTTGATGGATAGAAGGGCCCAGAAAAGGGAAAATAACCCATGATGAGCATAGGACACAACTGACAGCACTCAGCCAGCTCAGTAGTTCAATATGGAGAGAATGCTCCCTAGGTGCCCCTTGCCCCATGGTGCTGCACTGGATAGTGGCATGGCCACCACAGCCCAAGGCAGGTCTTAGCATAATTATTTGGAAAGGTGAGATAATTAGTTGATTAACCATTGCGTAGGGAAGCATTAGCATGGCTGCAAGGCCTCTGTGTTGGGGTACTGAGTTTCGAGGGCTGTGCTGGGCTCTATAGTGGCATCAGTCTGCATGGCTGAGCTGTAGATGCTTCCCACGGAGTGTGTTCCTGGGAGCTGTTCTCCTTTTGAAAGTCTATCCAGAGTGAGATGGGGATGTTGGGAAATCCTGTCTTGTACTGGAACCTCTGTACCCACTGGATGAGATTTAGCAATTTGCCCATAATGGCTGGTTTGTAGTCACAGCTGGCGATGGGGATGAGAGATCTCAAAGCAGTTTGTGGGGATATACTCGCTGTGATCATAAGTGTGGATGTTGGCTGGTAAGACAACGGAGAGAAGAGGCTGGAGGAGAGTGTGCTGATTTATGTCACTATTTGTTGATTTACACTGTAGGTGGGTCTGGCCCAGTGGGGAGCTGGACCAACATTTCAATTTTCTCTATTTGCCTTTAGTTTCAGTGGCTTCCAGGGGTATAGGCAAGGCAAGTGGTCAGCGGCAGCTGAGATGTGCTCGTTGAGAAACATTATTGGCTAGGAAACTTCGAAATTAGTATTATGACCAGAAATGTTTCTTGGAGGTTTTCGCATCATGCTGTATCCAGCTGTCTTCTGGCAGCATGAGGCTACTAGATGAGTGGAAAAGGCCCTTTTGCTTTTAGGTATGTGCCTAGCTGCATGGTGCAGTGACTGGGCAAAAGCTGCATGGTTGCAAGCAGTTCAGAGCTGCAGCAGGGCTTGGATGTGACCAGCACAGAGCCAGCAAAAGATGATGACTATCTGCTTCTGACCAGATGTCTACTGCTCTCCCAAGGTGGTAGATTTGGACCATGCTGGGATGAACAGAGAAGAGCCCCGGGATGACAGCCCTGCCATGGATGAGGTCCTGGAGCCAGAGTCTGGGGCTTCAGAAACATGATAGATGAAGGCTGACCGTGAGGTTTCAGTGGCTGAGCAGAGCAGTGACAGCAGCAGGAGCTTGGGAGTGACCAAGTGCCTGTCCTAGAGCCTTCAGGGGAAATAGCAAGTCACCCCATTTGTTCAGAGATGTCATAGGGCCCAAACAGTACAATTCCACCTTCTAGGGAGTGGGACGGAGCTCAGGCTGAGCACTCTGGTTACTCCCAGCCTGTGGCACTCCTGGGGACAGTCACAGGAGCACCGCCTTCTCTGAGGCTGTAGGACATGGGGGATGTTAGCAGCTGGATAGTCTGCTAGAGACCCTGGCTGAGCTGTCTTGTCCCTAGATACCTTCTAATCAGGGAGACGCAGCCTACCTGAGATCTGCTGCTCAACAATGTCTTCCCTCACAGATGCTGAGTACAGAGGGAGCCAGGGCCAGAGCAGTCCAAAGCGTGATGCCTTGGTTAAGTGCCTACATTATGCATGAGGGTCCTGACCTTTCATGATGATTCACTGAAGGATGAGGAGGGGGAAACTGCCAACTCTCCTATCCCCTAGTTATTCCTCCACTGCAGCCTTTTAATTTGTGCTCCTTCCCCATATGTTCTGTGCCAAAGCTGCCCCTCTCCAGCAGCCATGTGCTGAGTGTCCAGGCCCTGTGTCTCATCCTGGCCCATTCCCTCCCTCCAGAGGACCCAAGAAATGGGCAGCAACTGAGGGTGTGCAGAAGGCGAAGTCTGACTGCTGTCTCTGGTACTATGCCACAGTGGGAGGTTGTTTCCCCGTAGCCAGTGGGATTTCCCCACACCTACCCAGGCAGGGCATGGCAGGGGCAGAGCTGTACCTGCTTTTTTGTTCCCATCTCCACTCCTTAATGCTTCCTCTCAGACCCTTTGAGATCATCATCCTTCTGACCATCTTCGCCAACTGTGTTGCACTGGCCATCTACCTGCCGATGCCTGAGGATGACACCAATGTTGCCAACTCCAGCCTGGTAAGGCACAGCCCTTCCCACTGTTCTGCTGGACAGTCAGGTGCTCAGCTTGGAGGGCTCTGCAGAGCTGGTAGCTCAGTGTGGCATGGGTGCAGGATGGTCATACCTGTAGCGGGGGCATGTGCTGCTGCCCTGTGGGGTGCAGTCAGGTGTCATCGCTCCAGCGAGAGATGCTGCGAAGTCAGAGGGAGGCAGAATGGTGGAAAACCTGCTGCAAAATGGGTTTTCAGACAGGCTGAAACCACCTGTAAGATGAGATCAAAGGCAGACAATTGGTATGTCAAGCACACAGGAAGGAAGAACTGATGCCAAAAAAAGAGCATGTTCTCTCAGTTTTTTATCATGACACTTCGAAAGGAAACATCCTGTTCCAGAGATGCTCAAATGTTTGGTTTCAGCATTTTTTGAATAAATTTTTCTGACCTTTCATTTCAAAACAATATTTTAATTTTGGTACTTTTTACTTAAGAAAGAAAAAAAACACCGCTGTTAGGCAGAGAGGTTGCTCCTTTCCAATCAGTTATTCCTTTTTTTTTTTTTTTCGCCCCCAGTCAGTCCATTTTGCCTGGAATAAAATGTTTTGATGTGATCCAGGTCAACAGTTTGCACTATTTTTAGTTTGCCATCCCTTTCCCCTCTTTATATCCCCATTGTGGTTCGATCTACATTGATTTCCATTGAGAGTCTGAGTTTGGTGACTGAATTAGAGCATCTAAATACGCCCTTTTTAAATGAAATGTTCTCTTCTGCTAATTTCAGGACCCCTCAGTGTTGGGGTGGGGTGTGTTGTGTGCAGGTATTGCTGGCAATTTGTGACTTAAAAAAGCCCCTTTCTGGTTTTCGACTGTTCCTAAGGACTCTGCAGGGAAAAATAAGCCAAGAATCAGAGATACAAAATACAAAGCAAGGTTTTACTAGTGCAGTTTTTAGTTCCTTGAACTGCTTTTGTCTGTTTCCCTCTCAACAGGCTTTTAGTGGCAGTGAAGATAGTGTTTACTTCTAATTTCCTTGGAGAAAGAAGAAAAGGGGTCACTATTGGCAATGTTTTATTACATCTTTTAAAAATAAACCCAAGACAGGTCCACAGAAGTGGGGAATTAAAAATACCCACAGAGAGTTAATTCCTGGGGTGTTCATTCGACCTCCTGGTGCACTGTCTGACCAGCTTCTCTAGCACCTGCAAGCTCGAGGCAAAGTTAAGTTCAAGATGCTGGTTTTGGGTTCTTCCCTGGCCAACGAGGCATAACAGGATTTGAAAGGTGCAGTTATCTCAGCTGAGGGATTAAAGAGGCAAAGTGAAACGGGGGCATGTGGAGCATGGAAAGCAGGAGGTGGCTTCCTGTTGAGAGAGGGTTTAGGATTTGGCTGAGAGCAGGATGCCTGCGAGGGCAGAGCTGGAGAAAGAACAGCAGCATGTGACAGAGTGGCATGATGGGGGGGACAGCCTGGCAGCAACCTGCCTCATGGTCCTCCCGGGCAGGGTGGGTCCTGCCCAGTAAGGACCAACAGCCTTTCTAGTTAATGGGAGGCAGGCAGATGTGTACTGACTACTGTCATGTATAAATGAAATTTCATCTATTTATGTTTATTGTGTATTAGATTACTTATGCTATATCCTAACTGGGGATTTTTCAGCCTGTTGCAATGCAAACAGGCCTCTATATCAGGAGCCTGGCAGCCCCAGGCTTCTGTTCTTTCATCTCTTCTCTGCATGTGCCTTTGTCATCATGTTCTGGTGGCTTTGTAAGAGCAGTCACCTCGGGTATCTGGCTGTGCTCTACAGAGAGCCCACAGGTAGTGCAGCAAAGGCTTGTTGGAGGCATTTCTTCCTGCAGCAGGGAGATGCTGCAATGCATTTACTCTCTCCCTGTCACTTTTGAATTGCCTCTGTTGGCCAGTCCTCGCTGGAGAGGATTGAGTTTATCTAAAGACCTTGAAATTGTTGAGGAAGCAAAATTTGTGAGGGGAGACAGAGTCAGAGCAGTGAGAACATTGCCCCATGTTATTTGTGGAGGCAGGATTGATGCTCACTCTTATCAGAGCTGACTGCTAATGGGTGTGCAGGAGCCTGTCCAGCCCAAGCTTCCTTCAGAGCAGCCTCCTGCATCCCAGGCACTTAATGCAGTGAAAGCCACTCTACTCTGAAGTTGAGGGTCTCCAGCAAGGAAGTCTTGGGAAGGAAGAATCTCCTGGGAAACCTCTGCTGCCGCTTTCTTCCTGCAAGGTTGGGAAATCTGCAGAGCAGGCACACTTGTGACTCTGTCTTTCCAGGGCCACCCGGGCAAGATTTGCACACAGAGTTTACACTAGATTTGGAATTAGTCTCATGAAAACTTTGTTATCCAGAACTCATTTTGGAGGGTTAAAAAAGTATGTTTAATAACTCGTAAATCTTCTATGAATCCATTTTGCTTTATCTTGGAATAAATATAGTTGTTTAATTTCAACATATTTCATTATTATTTTTAGATTAGATTTCTTCTGATCCAGAAGATCTTTTTGTAGTGCTGTTTTCATCTAATTTTGTCTGATTCCAATGAAATCGAAGTATTTTCTTTGACCCTGCTGAAATGATTTTGACTTTTCAACTTGATCAAAAATTCACAGAATTTATTTTCAGTTTGACTTGAGTTTCCAAATTTGTTAATGAACTCCAAATCACACTGTTTGTCTTTCACTAGTAGCCTTGCTCCAGGAACAAGCAAGTTCAGAAATGTGTTTAGCAAGGCAGGTTATTCAAGAGGATTCACTCCAGAAAATGCAGATGTCTGCATGCGAGCTGGCTGGCTAGACTCCGTTTATGGTCAGTGGAGAAATAAAGGCAAATTTAGAGTAGGATTTGTCTCCTAGGGCAGTTGGTCTCCTTGTGCAGTTCTGGTGGGTGGTGTTTGACATGCTGCACACACTAAAGTAGCTAGTTTTTGCCACTAATAGGACCCAGGGGTGGCTGCTCAGAGGGAGGCCACCCTTTCAGAGCATCCAAAAGCAGCTGGGCTGAGTCCCATGTGCTTTGTAAGCGTATCAAGTAGAATGTGGGGTCTGGTCAGTGGGGGACAGAGCTGGAGCTCAAGCTATACAGAAGACACTCTTAGCACAGGTGATGGCCTATATGTAGGCACTCTGTTAGTATCACAGATAATGGCTTTATATTCAGGTAGAAGAGATGCTTAATATAAAGGAGTATTTTGCAAAAATCTCACCATTTCGGGTTGCCTTGGGTTGTATCTCAGGGAACCCCTGTGTTTTAAAGCCTGAACATAGCCCCAGGCACAATTCAGTTACAGGAATATGGGCATCTGATGCCATTGCAGGTGGAACAGACCTCCATCTGCTGCTGTGAAGCAGTGTGACTTGCTTGTGAGTCTTGTGTAACATCTGCCACCCCAGGACTCTCTCATGTAGCCCAGGGCATCTCCAGTAACGCTGAAAACAGCTACATTTGGACAGCTGACTTGTGTCTAGCAGTGCTTCAGCAGAGATTGCTGCTCCAGTGCTGATTTTGAAGAGCAAGTGCCTGCTGTCAGGTGCCTGTCCCTTGAGGCTGGCATGGGTCATTCCCTGAAGGAAAGTCGTGATTCCATGTGGCTTTCCAAGAGCTTGAGGTCACCCTTGATCACCTGCAGTCCTCTAATAGCTGTGAGAATAGACCACACACCTGCACATCTCCATACGCAGACTCGGTGCATGGGACTTCAGAAACTACTGTTGCTCTTTTACCCAGCATCTTGAGGGTTGCACATAAAGATGCAGCTGTATGAACTTCCCTTGCCTCAGTATTCCCCTTCACTATGGGCTGAGGCTGCTGTCCAGGGCCGGCATGCTGCCCAGCTTGTAGCTTGACAAGCCTGGCAGCCTCCCTGGCTCAGCCTGGGGTTTTGGATAGGCAACTGAGCCAGGGCCCTATGATCTCCCTGTTGCTCTTCCTGGCCCTACTCATGGGTGCTTAGCCACCCCGGGTGTGTTCTCATATGCAACCCTCTTGTCATGAGGTTGCCCTCTTTCAAGCTCCTTTCCCCGTGGACAGCGCTGACGAGAGAATTTCACCTCTCCTTTGCACAGATCCCAGCTGTGACTGTTGATGCACAGCATTTGCCCTCTGATCTGGCCAGCAGAGCTGGCTGCTTGTCCTGAATGTCAGCTGAAGTACAGCAGCTTCCAAAGCCTGCTCCATCAAGCAAGGTGCCCCATGATTCGTCCCCAGCTCCACAGCAAGGCTTCCTCTGGAGGGACCTTGCTGACCATCTGCTCCCAGCCCTGGATAAGGGTGGATTAGCTGCAGCTCCTCTGGATTTCTCTTCCTCTGGTTGGGTTTTCCACACCCTGGGTCTGACAGATGTCAGCTGAGTCCTTGTCCATACTGTGTCCAAATCATTCTCCTTTCCATGGTTTTGCTGGCTGAGGTGGTAGCCCTTGGCAAAGCTTTTTCAAATCAAACAGTCCTAGGACATCTTGTCCAGAGATAACCCTCAGGAACGCCACCAAGGTGTCCCACAGACACTTGACCAGGCATGGGGCAGCTGGTGTGACAGGGAAGAGACATGGAGCAAAGAGGAGCTGTGGACAGTAAATGAGGGAGACGTAATGGGAAACAACTTATCGTAGGGCCTGGCCCCTGCATGCTTGCATAGCTGCTGGAGAGGTTTATTGGTTTTTTGGTTCCTGTCTCTGCAGCCCTGGGGTTTGTCATCCCAGGTCTGTCATTTGTTTGGGGGAAAGGAGGAGCTATGGCTGGGGGATATGGCAGGAAAATCACAGCATCACAGAGCAGTTGAGGGTGGAGGGACCTCTGGAGATCATCTAATCATAGAATCATAGAATGATAGAATGGTTAGGGTTGGAAGGAACCTCAAAGATCATCTAGTTCCAACCCCTCTGCCATGGAACCCTCCACTACACCAGGCTGCCCAAAGCCTCATCCAACCTGGCCTTGAACACTTCCAGGGATGGGGCATCTACAACTTTTCTGGGCAACCTGTTCCACTGCCTCACTACGCTGTGAGTGAAAAATTTCTTCCTTATATCTAATCTAAATCTGCCCTCTTTCAATTTAAAGTCATTGCCCCTTGTCCTATCGCTACACGCCCTTGTAAAAAGTCCCTCCCCAGCTTTCCTGTAGGCCCCCTTTAAGTGCTGGAAGGCTGCTATAAGATCACCCCAGAGCCTTCTCTTCTCCAGGCTGAACAGCCCCAACTCTCTCAGCCTGTCTTCATAGCAGAGGTTTTCCAGCCCTCGGATCATCTTCGTGGCCCTCCTCTGGACCCGCTCCAGCAGCTCCATGTCCTTCTGTGTTGGGGACTCTAGAGCTGAACACAGTATTCCAGGTGGGGTCTCACGAGAGCAGAGGGGCAGAATCACCTCCTGCTAATCCAACCACCTGCTCTAAAAAATTTGTGCGAATGATTCAAAAACTCTCTCAAATACTTTCCTGCATGTCTCCCCACCCTAAGCATTCTTCATGCTACGACAGAGGCCACGGCGAGAAGCAGAAATGTTTCTTGCAATGTTTCCTCCTGGACGTGGTTCGCAGCAGCCCCAAGGGGCTCGCCTTCCTTCCACTGCCCTTCCTGTGCCAGGTGCCAGGGTTTCCCACCATGTACTCAAAGGGGCCTTCCTCTGCTCCAGCCTTCATTTTTGTCTTGATTTCCAAAGGAAGAGGATTTCTGAGATTGCTGTAACTGTGTTCCCATACATTCATTTGCTGTCCTGTCCTGTTCTCCCTCTTACATCTGCAGGGCTTGTCTCATCTACATTCAGGGGAAGGGGAGAAAGACAGAGAGCTACTCTCTTTTGCAGAGCATAGTTCCTGTCAGCCTCTGGAGAACAACCTTCTGGATGTTTTATGTTTAAACAGTCCTTATGAAAGAGCAGCAGCACAGCTACGTGTCCTGTGTATCCTGGTGCAGGCAGTCCACACATGCATCCTGGTCAAGCCATTGGTGCATGTAATGAAAAATATTTTTATTGGGCAGGGCAGTCAGACACAGACACAGGTTTCCCAGGGTGGGTGTGGAGTCTTTGGATACATTCAAAACCTGTGTGGACAAATTTTTGAGCAACCCACTATAAGCTGGCCTTGCTTTGAGCAGTGAGGGTTTCGACTAGGTGATTTCCAGAGGTTCCTGCTGGCCTCAAACCTTCTGTGATCTGTGACAACTGTCTCAGCCATGGCAAGGGCCACCCCTCAGCCTAGCAACGAAGGGCAGTGTGAGACAGTGGAGGTGATGGGGGCTGGAGCTGGCTGGTACTGAGGCTCTAGGAGAGGTACCAGGACTGATGAGCAGGAGCAGGAACAGAGGGCACAGAGGAGGGCAGGAGGCTGGGGACAGTTTGGAGAGGGCAGGGAGATGTGTCGGTGCTGTGAGTCCTGCTGCTCGCAAAAGTCTTCTGCTGGGAAGCAGAGGTAGCTGTCCGGCTGTGTTACAGTCAGACTGTCCCTTCGCCATCTGTCCCCCACTTCGACCAGCTGAGAGGCTTTATCCATGCCCTGCACCCCCTGTTCCCTGGGAGGAGACAGCAGGGACGTGGAGCTGGGGCTTATGCTGACAAACCTGCTTGGCTGTCGGGGCCAGGAGCTGACATTGCAGAACAGGCTGGAGCTGCATCATGTTGCATCGCATTGACATGGTGCACGCTGTTA